CGACATACAGTCTCCTCTATCACCTGGTTGAACACATTCCACCCCAAAATGACCGAAGATACCAATCCCGCGAACAGCACCACCACCCGAGCCGCTGCCTCCCCCTCTCCTCCCCCTCCGGCCCCTGTCGCATCAACCCCCGGCCCACGCGTCGCCAAATTGCAAGAGATCTTCGACAAAGCACTTGCGCGTACCTTGCGCGCAAACTCATATGCGAACTTCTCGAGCTGTTTCCCCACCCCCGCCAAGCATGTCCCCGCCAGCTTGGAGTCGGTTTGGCGGCAGTTGAATGCGAAGTTGGAGGAGAGTGCGAAAGCGGAGTTTGAGGACATCTTGACGGAACGGGATGCTGTCCGGCAATTGAATGAACTGGATCGGTTGGTCGGGGAGGCGAAGTATAGGAAGGATCATGGGGTTGGACAGGAGACTGTTGCGTAAGTTCTTATCTTCTCCCTTCGCTCTTTTATTGTTCTTGAGGTTTTTTTTTTCTTTTTGAAAGGGAGAGGCGGGGATGTTCTGTGGGTAACGGCGATTGATGGACTGACCGAGCGTCTCTACAAATAGTCCGCATACCTTGCCTCCTGATGAACTATTTCGATCCCATCTCCTGCCATATATGCGTGAAACGCAGTCATCTCTGAACCACAAGATCGAATCGGTTCAAGATGAGAATTCAGAGCTGGCGCAACGGGTGCAAGCGCAAAGGAGGGAGATTCAAGACCTGCTCTTAGGCTTGGAGTCTGTTGTTGCGGACTTGGAGGTCGCTGCTGCCGCTGCGACGCAGTTCGGCAGCGATAACAATCTACGACAGGAGGCTGCAGAGATGGATGAGGAAATCAGAGCTCGGTCTGAGATATGATTGAACTCTCGTACCCACACGATATCTTATTACGGGCAACTTCTGAAATTCGAAAAACGGCGAATTGTATATTACGCCCCGTGGTATGTCTATGACAGAAGCACCTCCATATCACCAGGGCTCATCCATCCATCGTCGACGACATCTTCGGCTACCATCATCAGTTCCTTTGGCGCGGCTCTCCTGAGCTCCTCCAGTTTCTGCTTCTGTCCTTCCAGGGCCGCTGCAATGGCTTCTTTACACGATCCGTCTCGCGACGCCTCTGAGGCTCCGTCTCTCCTGGCTAGTGCTGCGGCGCCTCGGTAGTATGTCTGCGCGTTGCGCAGCAGTGTGGCTCCATATTGCTGAGCCATGGCATAGTTCCAGGGAGGCATGCCAAGCCTCCACCTAGCTATCTCCACGTCTCCCCTGGCTAGGTGGATCTTGGGCAAGTCATCTGCCTCGGGATGCTTAGATGCTTTTGTGAGAGCGTCCAGTGCCGCAGAAAGTGCCTGCCACCGCAATGACAACGCTCTCGTGAACGCTTCAGGCTCGTAAGGAGGAAGATCGATGAGGGCAGTGTTGAACGACGTCAGCGCATCTGCTTTGCTGCAGAGACCACCTGGATCGGAAGAGACATCTAAACCCGCGCCAAAAGCTTGCGAGACCTCACTGGAGTACGTTTCAGCCTCGATTTGGCCGCTTCGATAGAGCAGTTCGTTCAGCCCGCAGGTGAATTTGGCTCTGGCCAAAGCTGCCTCATAATGTCTGCTCGATCCCTCCACATGAGCGGAGATGCGCTTCTGCAGTAGGTCGGACGAAGATTCCTCCACCCATCCCAGGCCGACCCCAGGGTTGAATGTAAGCAGGTTGCAAAGAGTTGTCAATGTATCAAGTTGTGCTACTGCCGTGTCCACCAATGTATCCTTGGTCACTGGCTCTATAATTGCAGCCCATTGTTCTTGCTCGTCCGTTGGTTTCGACTCCGATGGTTGCTCGGGAGTCTTCTGTGTGTTCTGCGTCTCCACCTCTGGTTGTCCGGCGTCCGCAGATTCCATTTGTTTGATTTGTTCCTGCATTTCTGTAAACTTCAGCTCCTGTAGAAGCAGGCAACGCTGGAAGAGCTCGATCGCTTCCTGCAGAAGCTTTACAGCCTGCGATAGGCGCTCGTCGGATGGGTGCTTTGAATCGGTCAAAATCTCCGCGATGCTCGTAAGCACCTGGCCTGTGTTGAAGAGTGCGTCAGGATTATCTTGCTCTAGAGCAAGCGCCACTCTATGGGACTCCAGTGCCTCTTGCAGGACATCAGTCAATGGGGCCGACAACTGGGCTTTCAATTTCGGATGCTGTGTGATTTCATATTGAACTCGAGCTCTACTGTATGTCAAACAGGCATTCAAAGAAACAATCACAACACTCGGTGAATCAACAACGCAGGCTGAGGATGATTTGCGACTCACTTGTTATAGGCCAAGTCAAATGCACCTGGATGCTTGATCAAGCCTTCATCGTAGGTATTAATGGCACGCATGAAGAAGCGCAGCGATTTGGCAGCGTCTCCAGCCCGCCATTTTTCTCCAGCTTCTTCTTGTTCGACACCGACTAATGGGGCTCCGTTAGTCTCGTACCTTAGCACCCGACCTACGCAACGGCGTCTATAGGAATAGGTAGTCTTGTGACATACGTGCAAGGTATTCATCAGAGGTTTCGGGGGCCTGAGATGAACCATTAGTATCGCAAGAAACAAAGCCGGTTTGGATCCATACTCGTTGTGCCGCTTTCTTTTTGGTTTTCGCTTCCTTGAGGAAGGCCTTTGGCTTCGGCATTCTTTTTTTTTTTAATCAACTGTCCCTTCTTGTTTTCCTTTTGATTATCTGCTTGGAACAATATTGTTAGATGCTTCCCAGGTTGAGTCTACTATTGCATGAGTTTGCCAATGAGACTCAGCGTAGTGTACAATATAATACAAGACGAGATAATAGTATGAGCTAAACCCGACTACTAGATAAAAATCTCTTTTGAGAGCTGAGGACTAGTGGAACTCCCGGCGGCGTACGTACTTTTCCGTCGTCAAATTTCCTTTTCCCCGCATCAGGTGACGGAGCCATGTCGGAGACACCGCCTTTTCTTTGTTAAGTGAAAGTCAATGCTTGAATCTACGGAGTACAATGACAATAACCATAGATCATAGATGGACGTTCACTATTCCCTAGACAACTACAGCATACTACCTATGTACTATAACTATACAATACGCTGCGACTCCTATCCGTAGTCCGGGCGGGGATCGCCGAACAACAACCCTCATTTGGGTCAATCGGAGCTCTTGTCTGAGACTCATTGAACCTGCAAAGTCTACATGTGATTTACCTGTGTAGGTTGTAACTACGGGCGAGTTGAGTTCAGAAAGTGTTAGCCGGTTGTCTTGCAAATCTTGAACAAGCCTCTGACACAAGGATTGTGATCTGCTTATCTATCCCAGCAGGTCGCACACCTCGCAATTGAACTTACATAGTACTCTACTTGATACCTACAGAACAGGTCGCTCTAGGTGCTTGACAATAACCAATAAAGACTTCCACTCTTACGGGCATGATAGCTTTAGAGGTAAAGGTAGGTATGCAACGCCATACCATGCTATGTCCAATGAATTGACATCTGATTGAAAGGAGATAAAGAGTACGTGGAGTAACCTTGAATACGCCGAATTCTTCCCCTCCCTCGGGTAAGACCGATTGAGTACAATGTGCAGGCCACCTTTTCTCCCCTCCTCTTCTTTCCTCCCATGCTTTGTCACAAGCTATGAGATCAGCTCGCGTGGCGATATGGGCAATCCCTAGCACGTGGCAGACAACGGGCTGGTTCTGGCTTTAATCTATTATGGTGCTGATGGAGGGCCGCCTCATGCTCTGATTCCCTCTTATCGCTGCTCTTAGATCGTCTTGGATCTCGATAACCACACCAGCCCGCAGAGACAAAGAAAGCACTTTTTCCCCTCTAGGCGATCCCGATCAATGAATAACCAGGAACAACTGATCAACTTTGTTCCTCTATACGTTCCGAAAAAATCAATCACCTTCCTTTTGTGAGTAGCTATCGGGAAGCCAGGGCAATTACAGTGGTCGCAGTGTTCAGCCAAACCGATCGTCATGAATTGTTCCTACTCTAGGATCAGGAGCCGGGTGATATGACAATCCGCCCCAGCCCGTAGTATGAGTAGTAACTTAGTCTGTCTAAGTTGTGTTCCAACAGCAGAGAACCCCTGTCTGATGATCAAGCTGCTATCCGTCCGATGTCTCATAATACTTACTCGAGCCGACCATCTCGGAGAGTCTGACATGGTGTGGCGTGCTGCATAATCGGGTTCTTTTTTTCACTTCGGAAATACAAAAGAACCAGAGTATGCACTGTATTGTACTAGGTTTAGTGCTGCTCTGCAAGGCTGTGTTACCAGTGGGCGAAAAAAAAAATAGGTTGACTACAACCTTGAAGCCACTGACCGGGCTAGATCCCGAGTACGGACATGGCCACCTAACTCCATCCCGGGTTGTCGCTTGTAAGTTAAGTTGTTAGTTAACCAGGGGTACGAGTATGAATTGAATTGGCAATGCCAACAATGACAAAAGAGGATGAGAGGGAGAGGGCGAGAAAAGAAAAGGAAAAAGTGAAACTTCAGATAGACAAGGTTAGAGCTAAAATTCCTTTGTAAATCCTTGACTTTTGTAGGATTCGTGGCCATGGGCATTTTACTTGAGTATATCTATTACTTCAAGGGTTTTTTTTTCCATTTCCATTCTCTTATTACATAGAGTCAAAAAAAATACCGCTCCTACTGCGGGCGACCCACTGACATCTCCCCTCCCACCCCCTCCAAATCCACCCCCCCGAATCCTCGAACAAACGCTCAACGCATGTGCGCACGTACACACATCACCTCACCTCACCTACGCCGCCTACCTCCGGTTTCTTGCTTACTACCTTTACTTTACCCTTGTCCTTCTCCTCCTCCTCCTCCTCCTCCTCCTCCTCCTCCTCCTCTTTTTTTTCTCTTATAACATCCTTCTCTCTCGCGCTTTCTCACAGACATACTCTATCTCTCTATCTTCCTTCAATTCTTACGCAACTGTTCCCCTATTCCTCATCGTTCCTCCGGTAGAAGAACAGACAATAGTGTCGCGTCGCCCCTTTCCGACTGTGACCCCTTAAGAGGTATGCATACTTGCGCAAGCCCTATTTCGCCCGTCCGATTTCCTTTTAGCGTGGGTGCCAGTGCTAGATTTTATCCCCGGTGTCTTGTTAAGTTTCCATATGAAAGGAGAGATCGCAATGACCTCCTTAGTATTATGACATTCTCTATCCTCATGCCCCTATGTATCACTGCAGTGAACCCGTCAATCGCTAATCATGTTTAATTCAACCCACGTCTAGTCACAATAACCTCATTGCGCAACTGCCAGCAGCGGAAGTTTACTCAATTTTCCACTCCCCACCCCTTGCTTAGGGATCCTCCCTATCCAGTTATGGCCAGACACACCTCGCTCGACTCCGAAAGACCAATCATGGCTCAATCTGTAAGCCTATTACTCCCGGAATATGGTGCTTGGATTTTGACCGGAGGTTTTAGAACCGGACGTCGAAGAGATTCTCGACTGTGAGCGGGAGCCCCTCAGTTGCGTCATCGGAGCTCTCGAGTCTGCCCAGTGGGGATCCCCGACTGGCCGACTTTCACCATCTGCGGGACGGCTTGGAGCGATTGGAGAATAAGCCCCTGCTGAAGCAGCGCTTTGTTCCCACCCCCGAGAAGAGCGACAACCTCAGCAAATTGGCGCTGGGAGCGAAAGTCGAGCGCGCCCTCGACCGAAGAATGACAGGCCAGGATGCCATCATGCGCGAGCCCACCTTGAATGAGAAGGCCGTTGTCGACTCGACTGCGTCCCCTTGATATGAATCTCAGTGCCTTTTTTGAGATGTCGACTGGTTACCGTGCATGACTCTTATGGTTTTTTGTGATCGGAACCCTCGCACCCTGGGACCCAAAGTCACTTCTTCCCTCCGCCTGTCGGTATCGGGTGCGACGGAACACTTTCAAACGCGTCTGATATTTATCACTTTCTGGATGAGAAGCCTGTCTAATATCTGTTTTCATACCCCTGCCTCGAGCCAGCTGTTCTGTTTCTGCGAATTCAATGCCTCTTGTGGCTGCCATTACATATTCCATGAATCTACTTGTTCGTTACATCTGACTTATGTGAAAGATCCTTGGAGTACTTGATGTTATACTTGAAAGGCGGTGCTTGTGTTTCTTCAGATGTATAGCTGAGTGAACAGATCACTGCCATACGTACTTGTCTCTAGAATGGGGATCGAAGTGGTGGTCAATTATCATTGGTCGTACAGTTGCTCTCAGCCAGGCCAAGACACGTAGATACGCCTGGAAATACCATTCCTCGATGAGATTTTCTTCTAATCCACGGCAAACAATCACACCTGTCAAATGAGTCTGCCTGGACGGTTGATTGGTGGGTAGCAATACCCCAGAATGGTTCCTCCCGACATTGGGCAGGTGGGCATGAGCTCTCACCTGGAACACCTTAAATATTTGATTAGGACCTGGGCACCACTAATTCACGACCTCACAAAGTATACCTTATGTCATCCATAATTCGAAAGCAATCCGAAGACATAAAGTTATTGTTCGGGACTATTTCTTGCCTCGGGTGTCAACTGGCCTGGATTCGACAGGCGGTGAGCATACTGCCGAGCGGGCTTTTCTGGGTTCGATGCTCCCAGCACCAAGCAGGCCTTTCCATCCACTAACTTACCAACCAACCTCTTATATTCACCACTTCCTCAAACCATCTCCGTCAACCACTAACAGCTTGCTCCTCACTCAAATCTCTCTTGCTTCTCAAATTCTTCTTCCAGCCATTTGACGCATAAGTTCTCGCCCCAATTTTCTTTTTTATCCACTTCTTCCTCAGGCCTTCCTTTCGCACCGCACTTTGTCTAAATCCGAATCGCACAAGACTTCCTCTTCTATTTCACACATCGACGACTTCGACGCGCAAACATCTTGGAACATAATTGTTGTTTCTGTCCTTCTTGTCTAGCTTGTTGCATACCTAGTGAGCAGCTCCCTCGTTTCTAACATCGCACATTCATGAATTATTTTTGCTTCCGCCTTTTTCCTATCGTCCCTCATCTGACGCCATATCTCCAAAGCACGTTGAATATTAACAAAGAGCTTCATAGACGGGTGAAAAGCGTCTCCTCGATAGAGCTCCACCGCCACTATTCTTTCTGTCACATAAAGCTCGGTTCTGATAGCCTTTGTACCTTGGGCTCTTGCGATTTACGCCTCCTCGTCCTTCACCTTCATCGTTTCTCAATCCTCAAATTCTGATTCAGCACACAATGGCCGACACGACCCAGGCTCCTTTGAACGGCTACCCTGCGCAACATGCGTACCCCGATTCCTACAACCACACCCATGCCAATGTGAACAGCGCTGCCAACTTTCAGCCTGCGCAGTCTACCACTCCCTCGAACGCGCCCTCGACCGAACAGAAGAATGGCATTGCTAAGGATGAGGTTGGGTGGTACTTTGTCGAGCAGTACTATACCAACATGAGCCGTAGTCCGGAGAAGCTCCAATTCTTCTATTCTAAACGCTCCCAATTCGTCTTTGGAACGGAGGCGGAGAGCGTCCCAGTTGCAGTGGGTCAGAAGGTAGGTGCACTCCAATTGAGCGAGTCATCGCATCCGCGCTATCGGGAACGAGCAATTGCTGACGTTAGATGTATTTTCAGGCTATCAATGAGAAGATCAAGCAGTTGGACTTCCAAGACTGCAAAGTCCGTGTCCTGAACGTTGATTCGCAGGCGTCGTTCGACAACATCCTCGTCTCCGTCATTGGCGAAATCTCCAACAAATTGGAGCCTTCTCGCAAGTTCGTGCAGAGTTTTGTCCTGGCCGAGCAGCCCAATGGTTACTATGTCCTGAACGATATTTTCCGTTACCTGGTTGATGTTGAAGAGGAGCTGGAGACCGAAGAGGCTGCCCCCGCTGCCGCTCCCACCGCTCCAGCTGATGAGCCTACTGCTGAAGAGCCCGCCCAACCTGAGGCTGAGCCTGAGGCTGTCCCTGCCCCGGCTGCGGAAGAGCCCCAGGTTGAGGAGTCTCAGGTCGACAATGAGACAGCTGCTGCTCAGGTTGATCAGAAGCTTGAGCAAGCCGAGCAGAATGTCGAGGAAGTACCCGCTGAGCAGTCGGCTCCCAAGACCAATGGCGCCGAGGCTCAGGAGGCCCCAGTTGAGGCTGCTCCCGAGGCTGTTGAGCCCGCCGCTGCTGCTGAAGCGCCTAAGGTTGAGGAACCCGCGACCCCCGAGCCCACTCCTGCTCCCGAGCCGAAGGAGGCCCCTGCCCCCGCTAAGGAGAGCGCCCCCGCGGCGAAGGCTCTTCCCAAGACTTGGGCCAACATCGCATCCAAGTCCGGCGCCACCGTGCCCGTGGTTCCCGCCATTCCTGTCGCTCCAGTAAAACCTGCAGCTACCCCTGCTGCTGCCCCTGCTGCTGCTTCTGCCAGCTCGTCCCAAGCCGCAGCTCCCGTTCCCGCCGCAGCTCCCGCTCCCGCTCCTGCTGCTGAGTCCGCTCCCAGCCAACCCTCCTCTAACGATGGAGCCGGTTGGCAAACCGCTGGTCACGATCACAAGAAGTCCCAGTCTCGCGCGGCTGATGAGCAGAATGTTCTTGCTTACATCAAGAATGTCACGGAGAAGGTCGATGCCAGTTTGCTCAAGCAGACTCTATCTCGCTTTGGGAAGCTCAAGCACTTCGATGTGAGCCGCCAAAAGGTATGCAATTGCTCTCGCCTGGCCCTATATTTTAGTGTGATTGTCGACGCTAACCTTCTCTGTCCCCCATGCAGAACTGCGCCTTTGTTGAATTCGGCGATGCTGCCGGCTACAACGCCGCTGTTGCTGCCAATCCCCACCAGATCGGAACCGAGCAGATTTACGTTGAGGAGCGCCGTGCTCGCACTAATGCCTACGGTGGTAACGGTAGCTATGCTGGCCGTGGTGGCGCTGGCCGTGGTCGTGGAGACCGTGTCGGCAGCCAGGGTCGCGGCGGCTTCCAGCGTGATGGGCGCGGAGGCTTCGCTCCTCGCGGCCGTGGCGGCAATGTCAATGCCAAGGGTCGCAACCAAACCCAGACTGCTTAAAGCCACAGCAACGTACTGACGAACAAAGAAACCGAGAAAAAAATATGAATTCTTCTTCAAAATCTCAACAACCTCCACTAATCCAGGTTTCTTGCCCGAGGAATGACGGAAAGCATTTCAGTGAGGTCAAAGCTGTCTATGGCCTTCTCTTTCTCTTCTGTATCTCTTTATCTGGTCATCAACGATTTTCTCTAGCCCTTCCATCCTGGTTTCGGACCATTCTATGTTTTTAGATGCTCACGGCGATCCAGGACATGTATTACTCCCCCCCTCCTTCCCCATTTACTGAATAATGACATGTGTTATGTGGCCCTGCTCTGGCACGATGCATATTAGCGGTTGGAAAAGTTGTCTTATCATTTCCTAACTGGGCAGTTCTTGGTCGTCTATCTGACTCTGGTTTTCTACTGATTTATTGTGTTGTCATGACCTTTGTGAATGTGTCCTACCTCTCCAGCATAGCGAGCTTATTGCCCGTCATGATATGGTCCATGTTTTTCAGCTTCTTGAACTAGGACGGTGTCCCGAAGTGTGTCTCTTCCCTTGCCGACGATGAGTTGCGGGTAATTGCTATGGTGAGTGCCGTGGCTTGGACTAGGACTGGTAAGCTTTTTTGAGAATGAACCATGGGTGAAACCATCATCGTGAATTGAGAGTGAGTTTGGTCTACGACGCCCACAAATGCACAAAATCATGATGGCCAGGAGAAGTAAATGCAGTTGAATAAAAGCAGTTTCAGTATGTCCTCACTGCCAATTAAAGGACAAGAAAGACCTGGGAATTGACGGCAATGGATGATTCCAAACGATGACCTTGAACTATTTACAAAAAAAGGTCTAGTGAACGAGAGGCAAAAAGATGGTGGCGGCGGCGGCGGCGGCGGCGGCGGGCGAGACAAGGCTCATTGACTGATTGATCATGACATGAAAGAGGCGACTGGGCGGGTATGAGTAAGGTAACCTAGTTACCTAGTTATGATGGATGGATGAGGAGTGAGTGTACCGTACTAGGTACCTCAGCTCTAGTAGTTACAGTACGGTAGTAACTTACTGTGTAGGGAAAAGACGGGTTATTGCCAGGCAACTAACTAACTAGTGGTGGAGTGGAGCGGAATGTTCTAGATTAAGCGCCTCGGTTCTCAGGCAGCAGTCTGAGTCATCCGTTTGTCCCTCAACTCACGTAACTACAGCAATGGATGCACAGACAGAGCAAGTCCAGCGTACGGAGTAGGGGTAAACACACAGTTAGTATTGAGTGTTTGGGTATGCACTCATTGACAACAAGAGATCGAACCGTCTAGATCGGTCATTCAGGAACACAATCTGAATGTGTGGAACGGACTGGAAGATCCTGGGGAAGTCAAAGAGCGCCAGAGACCGCCAGAGACCACTGTAGAAGTCCATAGAATAGAATCGAGCCAAATTTTTGTGTTCCGCCGCCGCAAGCATAAGGTGCCCGCTATCCGCCTGGAAACTGCTAACCCATCTTTTCACTCCCCCCCCCTCCTCCCAAGCTTGCTATTTTTTCCCTCTTCTACCAACTCACCTCTCAATCTCTCTTTCTCTCTGCATCCTACAACCCCTCTACCCTCTATACCTCTCTTCCATTACAAATCTATCTTCCTATTCTCCCCTCCTCCCGCCATCTCTCTTCTTCAATTCTGTTAGAAAGAACTTTGTGATACCTCTTCACCTTCGTACTACGTTTTCTTGTGAGTATATTCTTCCTTCCACGCCTCACCATCAACTCATCTCTCACCCAATATGGCGGAAGTGACGAACTAACCACACACTCTCTACTACTAGAATCTCATCCGCTTTCTCTTCCTACCATCATCATGTCTGCCGAAACCTTTGAGTTCCAGGCTGAGATCTCTCAGCTCTTGTCGCTGATCATCAACACTGTCTACTCCAACAAGGAGATCTTCCTCCGTGAATT